TGGAAATATCTATCTATTCTAGTTAAAAAAAAAAAAAAATAGATATAAAAGAATTAAAAAAGGAGAATTGGAATTTGGAAATATGAATTGAAAATTGCAAAAACTAATAAAAATTAAAATGAGAGCAAAATGAGCAAATTGACAACAAAGAGATTGAGAGATTTCAATATAGAAAATAAGAGAATAAGAGAATTTGAGATGTGAGGAAATATGAGAAGTTTAGGCCTATTTATAGAAAAAAAGAGGAAAAGAAAATGACAATAAAAGCCCCTCCAATTGCTATAAAACGACTATATTTGAAGAGTAAAATGAGTTTTTGCAAAAAAAAAAAATATTTAATTTATTTATTTTTTATTTGGTGGTTGCAAACTCGTGGGTCAACTTGACAGGTTGGCCATTGGGCTGCCAACGGCCAACACCCTCAACTGGGCAGGTTGGACGAATTTAAAAAAATAAAAATAAAAACAACCCACCAAGTCGCCGGGTTGCCCTACGAAGGCCTAGCCCGCCCGACGGGGGAAACTTAGGTCTGGTTGCCCACCCTTTAGGAGGGCCGGGTTAGGGTTGACCCGCCTAACCCGACCCATTTGTTCCACCTTTAATTCTATATTAGAATGCGTATTTTGGAACATTAAAAAAATAATATACAACACAGTCTCACTGTTTTAAGACCTGGACTAAAGGACAACCTGTTCTATTACTCGAGTCACGGGTTGTAACGCCCAACATGGAGGTACATGATTTAATTTATGGTTTTATAGCCCTTAATTAATTTTTGTTAAAGTGATTTTAAGAGAATATGAAGAAAATGACTTAAACTTGCATTAAGGGTAAAATGTTCTTTTCACTCAAAATTAGTTGAAAAAGTGGGGAGTGAAAAGAAATAGAATTTCATAGAGAATGCATTAAAAATGAGGACATTATGGTAATTGACTAAGGGACATAGATGGAATTTTCAAGAAAGAGTAAGGGCAAAATGGGAAAGTGTGTTTATAAACTAAAATGTTAAGGGTTTGAAACCCTTATTTTTTTCATTCCACCCCCACACTCCTCCCCTATTTTCTCTCAAATTTTCATTCAATCCTCCAAGGATTTTGAGGGCTTTTGAGTGGTTTTTCATAGGGTTTTGATTTTAGGCTTCAAGAGGTAAGGATTCTTGCTCTTTATCTATGTTTTATTTGTGTAAAAGTTGAGTTCTTATGAAGTTTATGCTTAGGGTTAAGAGAAGATTTGAATCCAACAAGAGTAGAGAGCTTAGGAGAGACTACTCAAGCATAAGGTAAGTAAATTCCACTCAAAAATCCAATTTAAGTTAAAGTTTAAGAAAATCAAGTGAGTAGAGATTTCTTTTAAATATGCATATGTTATGATTATTGAGAAATTGAGATAAGATGGATGATTAGTTATGCTTGTTGTTGGATATACTTGAATATGAGGAGTGTATGTGATGGTTTGATGATGGGTTGAAATTGAAAGAATTGGAGAAACTTTTAGGAGTGTTTTTGCCGTGTAGGTATGGTGATGTTACAAGAGAGTTTTTCTCTCAATTTGGATGGTTTAAGAAACAAATAGAATGATAATTACATTAGGGTTTGCTTATGCACAAGTATTGTTTGATGAAATGCCTAAGAGAAGTATGAGTTGAGTGGAAACCTTAATTTTATGCAACATTGCATATGTACATTTCATAAGTGTATTTAAGTAATAAATTTTAAGCATGAGCCATCGATATGCATATAATTGTGTATGTGTAGAAACTTAAGAAAGAATAAAGACTAAAGACTAAAGAATAAAGAAAGAAAGAATAAAACATTCTAAGAATAAAGAGAAAGAAAGAATAAACATTAAAGAATTAAAGAAAGAAAAAGTGTTAAAGAAGAGAAAAGAATAGGTTGGTGTGATGGGGAACCGTGAGTGTTAAGAAGAAATTCCAACATACACGTCACCTTAATTGAGTGGCATAAGAAGAAGAAGAATTTGTACGGTCCGCAAGAGTGCATATAGATGAGGACTGTACTCACTCACACGACCAAGGTTCCGAATCCATACATCAACCGAGTCCGATCGGCAAAGAATAAGAAAAGAAAGAATTAGAAAGAATGAGAAAGCTTGAACAAGCAAAGAAAAGAAAAGAAACAAGAAAGAAAAGAGAAGCTTGGGCAAGGAAGACAAGAAGAGAAAAGAAAATCATAGAAAGAACAAGAAAAGAATAGAAAAGAAAAGAAAAGAATAGAAAAGAAAAGAAAAGAAATAGAAAAGAAATAGAAAGAAGCAATAAAATGCATTTTTTTATGCATTATTGCATATGCATTTCATTTATGTATATTCCCATGAATTTTATTATGGTTCGAAAGAATAGAAGAGTAACAAGAAGACAAAGAATAGAAGGAGTAAGAAAGAAAGAAACAGAGAGAATTAGAAAGAAAGAAAAGGACATTGAGAATTAGAAACAGAGAAAGAAAGAAGGAGAGAATTAATAAAGGAAAGAATCAAAGAAGAAGAAAAGTTAAGGGATTTACTTATTGAGCATTTTTATGCTCACCTCGTTGTTTTTTCATGTTTTTATAGGAAATAGGTGAGCAACAGTCGGAAGGACGTCGACAAGTGGAGAGAATTGGCAATACTGTCCACCGTTGCTAAGTTTTTGTACTTGTTATTTTGATATATGTAAAGAATTATATTTTGTATGTAAAGAAAAATTTGGGCCCAACTATTTTCATATGCTAATTATGTATGTTTTCATAGTATATGTTATAAAATATACTATTAGAAAGAAGTCATTACACGGGTCCACCAACCAGAGGACAACCTGTTCTATTACCCGAGTCACGGGTCCACCGATCCAACCGATTGGACTGATCGGTTGGGCCACTGATGTCATCATGCTAACATCAACATTGCAAAAAAAAAAAAAAAAAAAAAAAAATCCAGATTTTTGAATAAGTTTCAAATTTTCAATAACAACTTAATTACTACTCCAACATGATTCAAATTCAATAACAATCCCAACATGATTTAACAGCAATCCCAATATGATGTTTTCATCCATTACAAATTAAATGACAAAATATTAAAAAGATAGTCACATAATAATTAATAACAAAACATTAGGTGCAAGTGTTTTTTCTTTGACCACTCTCCATGTTGATTGAGCTTCACACACTTGGATCCACACCCTCAATAACATGTCCCCATGCTATATCAGTCCTACCTCTACCGAGATGATGACATTGTCTGTTTTTAATCTTTATCTACCTAACACACAAGCAATAACAATAATAATTTAGAATATACTTGGCATATTAAAACGCCAACATATTATGGACGCATTCAAGGAGGCTTTACAATAGCCTATAAAATGAAAAACGTATCATTTGTGAGATGATACAAAAGCAATAAGCACGTAACTATAATATCTAGAGTTACCAAATAGTGGTAAACCACAAAACTCACACACAACTTCTTGATTCAGCTTAAACAAAAACAAAAACAATAACAAGTAGGTAAACTAAGCCACAATGATCTGGATGTTACTATGTAACTTATAAAGGGCATAAATTATTGGTTTGTTATTATAACAAAGGCTATGCATTTGCATAGCAATAAGAATTTGCTACAAATAGAAAGGAAAAAAGATGCCAATTAAATTCGACAGATACGATTCCTTTATATATAAAACTTGTTCAATATACAATCTTATATGTTATAGCTCCACCAAAAATTTATAATTGACAAAAACTTTTGTAGATTATAAGATGCTTGAAATGTGGAAACAAAATGCTATTCCAAAAGGCACCTTGACTTTTAAGCATTATATCTTAATTCTCAGGTTTGGGCAAATCTGGGTTATTCAACCCAAGGGAGAAAACACAAATAATCTGAGTACCTTCAAATTATCTTCCAAAATTCAAGTAAAATAATTCTGCAACTTCCAATCAAATAATCAAAAGAAAACTTCCAAATATGGAGGATTTTGCCAAAAAAAGAAAAAAAATCTATTTCCAATCAAATAAACCAAGCATTATAATCAAAACAAAACTTCCAATCAAATAATCAAAACAAAACTTTCAAATCCAGAGAAAGAGAATCAAATAAACCAAATGTAACCTGTTTTTAAGCTTCTACTCAAATAAACCAACTCACCCCAAAGAGAACCAAACCAAACCCAAACTTCCAAATCAAAACAAAACTTCCAATTTAGAAAAAGAGACTCAAAACAAAGACAAATAACAAAACTTCCAACGGAAATACCGTTACAAAGCTCAAGTGAGGGAGAGAGGCATCCCTGTCGTCAATTTCGAGCAAGGGAGGTGTCGTCGTTGTCAATTTCCAACGAGGGAGGGAGCCGTTGTCATCGATTTTAGAGAGTGGAGTTGAGATTGAGACAATGGTTGTGATTTCAGACTTTAGAGAGTGGAGTTGATTGAGATTGAGTGGCGATTTCAGAGAGTGGCTAAGATTTTAGAGGTGCTTTTGCGTAGAGAAACTGAAAAAAGAATAGATTTAAGGCTTTTTTTACTTTTGAAATACTGAACCGGTTTACCATGCGGTCCGGTTGGACCGGGCGGGTTTCACTATTCATCCAATTAAATAGCGATTTGAAATGGGTTTTTGAGTATAATTAGGTTTTATATTAACTCGGACCGAACACACGACCGGGTCCCAATCGAACCGATTGGACTGGCCGGTCTGGTCTAGCTTTTAAAATAGTACAAGGTCTCCTCAACGGCAAAGAATAAAAGAATGTCATACAAAGCATTACTTAATTGATATTAAAAATAACTAACTTTAACTTTTAACCCAAGACTAATAGATTACTTTGAATTAAGGGCTAAGCATTTGTGTAAAAGATTTGAGTTATAATAACCTAAACAAAAAATTGTATGCGACAATAAATGCATATATTTTCCTCTTTTGTGTTATACCTCAAGATGAGGATTTTGATAGATGAAGGCAAATCCTTTTAGGGAAACTAAGCCTCAAATTTATGAGGACCAAATTTTGATTAAAGAATAACATTTTTCTAGCTATCATCATGACCTAAAGAAGGTTTCGAGTTCTTCTAACAATCTCATATCTCCATTTTCTGATTTCATAGACAATTGAGATGACATTAAGTGAATGAGATACACACGTACTTCTCTCAAATCGTGCACTGCGGTGAACTTCTTCTCTGCATGTTCATCCCAGCTGTCTTCTTGAGTACTGTTGCTATACATGTATTTTCTGCACGCCAGCAATATCAAATGGAAACTGAAACTCATAATCTTTCTTTTTATATACTGATAAAAGAAACCATAGAACAAGGAAATAGGAAACCACTGTCTGTTATTAAATATGCAAAATGATTTTATTTGATTGTCAAAATGAAGGGAGCAAAAGCACATGATAAAGAACGAAAAACTGTTACCCGCAGCACATGATTGAGACTAGCAATTTGATCTGCCTTAAAGAAATCGGAAATAAGTAATTCTCGAAATAAAAGCACCATGTCACTGTTGACTTTCCTAGCCCCTAGGTTTCCAATTATGCCAGATATGCAGGAATCATCAAACACAGTTCTTAACCACAAAGGAATATTGTCAAGTTTTGGCAATGCAACAGCTACATGCACTGCAGGCTTGTGATGATTAAAGAAAGATTTCGATGCTAAACATGGAGCAGCCAAAGACAATGCCATCTCTTCTACAATCAGCCTGTACCAATAATTCTTGGCAATCATTCTCTTCTCCTGCAAATCCAGGTTTTCCCACCCTAACACCATTGATACGCAGAGTCCACAGTTCATAACCACCCTGATGTCACTAAAAAAAACAAGGCCTTCTAACACAGCCATTATGGACATTAGGAAACCTGTGGAGCAATTAAGCTCCTTATGTTCTCTACTTTTCTGGTATGATAATCTGGTGAACAATTCCAAAAGACAATATGAAGAGACAAGCTTGACTGAAGGGGACCCAAAATGCATCAGCCTGCACAAATCATGGCAATGGATGCTGACTGCGGTGAGTGATTGCTATGAGTTCAATGGACCAACAAAATTTTGCCATTCCACGGGGCCTGGTAAAGCAGCATGTAAACTAAGGCAACAGAGAAGTTAGATTTTATCGCTTGGAATCATACAGGTGCATCGATGAAGGGTGCTTACCTTCTTAAATAGAAATAGTATAGTAGAAGCACAAATATTAGACTTTCTCCTATGTTTGCTCCCTCATCATAATCAGTCAACGCTGGTCCTTTTGAAAAAGCAGTGTCAATGGTGCTATTGATAGTACTGACCAAGGAAGTATTTAGAACAATTGTTTTTGAAGCTTCTACAAGAGCATTGTTTGTGTAATGGTGCAAAATTAAGGAAAGAATGCCTATAACTATTAGATTTTCATGAGTCCAGCCATGCACAGCCACTGTGGAGACCAAGCAGTCAATTAACTACAAAGTGAGAGAAGTCGAGTCAATTCCCTTAATTGTGATCATACTAAAATAAGACAGAGTTAAGACAATTACCTTTATAGTTACTGCTACCGAGGCTTCATTGTCAGAGAGTACTTTAGGGTGCACTGAGCGTAAAATGTTAAATGTTACAATTGAAATTGCCATAAATGTCTGTAGCGAATAGTGGTCTGATTTGTAATAAAGTGCACGGATTGCATTGCCTATGCCATGCAAACATAATTGATCTGAAGTAGCTGGAAAGATGTCAATAGCTTTTTCCATGAAATTTACTACTACTACTATGTCATGCTTGTGGCCTTCTTGCTCTACAAGCTCTATCAATAAGCTAACCAGAATGGCAGCTACATGGTTATCTCCTGCTGCTACCAACTCTACAATCACCTTTTCATTAATAGTCTGACTACCATGGACAACAACATCCATTCCATAGCTTCTGCAGAACTTTAGGATTTGGTATGACAATGGCTTGCTAATTTTCTCTTGTTGGAACAACCACCTCAATGATGATGAGTGGCTCACTGCAGAAGGCAAATCCCTTTCATTTTCAGTCACTAAATAGAACAGGATCCTCTCAGCTTCTAGACTGTAGGGGATCTGGTAGCTTTTGCCGGCAAAATTCCTAAAGAAAAAACCATAAAGATTCACCAGCCACATCATGGTTGATAAATCAGCAGCTCCACACTGAAAGTTACTTTTATCAACAAGAATGTATTGCTCTAAAGAAGCTAAAACTGACGTCTCAACTGCAAGTCTGAATAAGAAGGTTGATAATCCTAGGATTATACTATTTTATCTAGGCTTTTTGGCTGGATTTTGGATACTTCTTATTTCATTTTCGCCTGAATTGCAACTTAATTGCATATATTTTATGTTTCAGGCCAAAACGTGCAATTAGAGCAAATAATGAGTGGAATTGAGTTTCTGGACCCAGAAGCAAGCGAATCTCAGGATTCGGGGAAGTTTTGAAGCGGATTTGAAGCACTATGAAGCTTGTTCCTATTGGAGAGCACCAAAGATTGAAGATTCAAGCAAGGAAGCAAGCGGAGGGCAGTTCCGTAATTTCAAAATTGTTCAGAAAATTTTGCCGCGGCGATAAACTCTCAGGACAGATTAAGAATTTTAAACCAACTTGTTGCCGCGGCGAAGTCTACAAGTTTCAGTTTTTCAAAACTGTACGTTTTATTTTTAGGCGAAAGTTTTAGGTTTTTTTTGGACCGACTATATAATTGAGACTTAGCCATTTTTGAAAGGGTTCGACATTTTTCGGAGAAGGAAGAGAAGTTTGGAGATTGAACTCTTTGGATTCATCAAATAGGGAAGATTTTTGTTCTCTTTTCTTTATTCCAACATGTTGAATGCATTGTTTACTGTTTTTATTTCAATTTGTGTTAATTTTAGTATGAACTAACTCACTTTTGGGTTAGGGTTTTGATGTAATTGGGATTTTTTTATGTTTAATCAATAAATTGATGTTGCTTTTACATTTTATTGCATGGATTGTGTGATTAATCTTGTTATTATTGAAATTACTTGTTGAAAATGATGAGAATGAGAAGTGAATCATGTATTAGCTTATTAGGGTAATTGACATTGTTATATTGAAAACTAGAGATAGGTTTGAGAATCAATGAAATCAATTTAGGATTCCATTTAGCTTAACGAACTTGGAACTATTAACCTTCAATTTGTTGGGTGCGGAAGCTTAATAGGGAAAAGTAGGAAAACATAGCCCGAGAAGGTATGTTTTACACATTAAGGAGTCCGATTTATAATCCGTACATGTGAGTGTAGAAGTAGCATACTTGTAGTTAATTCATAAAATCCTAGTGAAGTCAAAACCCTGACCGTTTGTTTTAATTGATATTTCTCTTAAATTAATCTTGCTGTTATTAATTAGTTTTAAGTTATGTAGTAAATTTTGTTTTTACTTTAGCTTAATTTTCTCCCGCAAATCCAAACATCTTTCGGTTTCTCCAACTTGATAAAAAACTAGGCAAATCAGTGCTTAACAAACAATCTTCGTGGGAACGATATTCTACTTATCACTTTTTTACTTTTTGTGACTAGTGCACTTGCTCCACATTGCATATTGTAACTTCAACGCATTAAGTTTTTGGCACCGTTGCCGGGGATAGATTTTGTGTTAACATTGAACTTTTCTTGTGTTAGCTAGATTGGAGTTTGATTTTAGTTTTAATTGTTTTCTAGTTTAATTTTGCTATTCTTTTTTGTTAGCTTGTGATCTCACACTTTCTTTCTTTCTGTGTAGTTTATGCGAAAAGCTAGATGTCATCCAGTGGTTCCTATCAATTTAGAGATTGAAAGAATCGCAAGAAGGCTTAGCAGAGAAAGAAGAGAACGAGAAGCCATAGTCATCGAGATGGTAGAAAACAGAAATTAAGGGAATTTTTAGTACCCACGGTTGATGGCAGTGGTCCAAGTATAACTAGGCCACCAGTGCAAGCCAACAACTTTGAAATAAAGTTAGCAATTATCCAGATGATCCAACAGTCGGTACAATTTAAGGGAGATCTGAAGGAAGATCCAAATTCACACATTGCAAACTTCTTGGAGATCTGCGTTACCTTCAAATCAAACGGAGTGTTAGATGACGCCAACAGATTAATATTGTTTCCTTTTTCATTAAGGGATAAAGCAAAGAGATGGTTAATGGCACTACCACCAGGAACAATCATAACCTGGAATGAATTGGCACAGAAATTCCTTACTAAATACTTCCCTCTAGAGAAATCTGCAAAGATGAGAAATGATATCACATTGTTTCTACAGGAAGAGATTGAATCACTTTATGAAGCTTGGGAAAGATATAAGGAACTACTGAGAAAGTGTCCACACCATGGTTTTTCAGTTTGGATGCAAGTCCAAACGTTCTATAATGGGTTGATGGTTAATATGGAAACGATGGTGGATGCAACATCTGGAGGAGCATTGCAAAACAAGATACTTGAAGAAGCTTATGAGTTGCTTAAAGTCCTGGCAAGTAACAACTATCAGAGACCCAATGAGAGAATGCAGATGAAGAAGTCTATGGGTATTCATGAAGTTGATGCTTACACGGCAATTTCAGCCCAACTTACAGCACTTCAGAAGCAATTAGGAGGTATGCAAGTGAATTCTATTCAAACACCTCAACTGACATGTGATTTTTGTGGAGGTAATCATGCGAGCAATGAATGTCAAGTGGCGGAACACCTTCGCTTCAGCTTCATCATCATCGGAACAAGTCAACTACTTGGTAGGGAATCAAAGACAACATAACAATCCTTTCTCTAACACGTACAATCTTGGTTGGAGAAATCATCCAAACTTGTCTTAGGGCAATCAGAATCAGCAAAAATAACCAATGGAATCAAAGAACAGTGCCAAACAATCAAGTGGGGGTGAATAATCAACCAGCGGATCAAAGATTTTCAAAATTGGAGGATATGTTCGAGAAATTCATGCAAGAGACCACAAGTTCCATGAGTGAGACGAGGGCAAATTTGAGAAACCAAGGGGCATCCATTCGAAACTTGGAGGTACAGGTGGGGCAGTTAGTAGAAAAACTGAATGACCGACCACAAGGTTCCCTACCAAGCAACACAGTGACAAATCCACGTGAATAAGCGAATGCAATAACTCTACGGAGTGGAATAATCTTGGAAGAGGTGGAACAAACAGGGAAAGAAGAGAGCCCACCAAAAGACAAGGAAGATTCTGATGAGGAAGTCGACGAAGAGATCATTATTGAAGAGAAACCAACAAGTCCCAGGGAAGATGAACCAAAGAGGGAAGAGAGGTAAAGGCAAAAGAAAGAAAAATTGCCATTTCCCAAGATACCACCAGAGTTGGCACATCACACCGCTCATATGCCTTTTCCTTAGAGGCTTAGAAAGAAAAATCAGGATAAGCAGTTTATAAAATTCATTGAGATATTTAAAAAACTGCAAATTAACATTCCTTTTGCAGATGCTTTGCAATAGATGCCAAGCTACGCAAAATTCCTCAAGGAAATTCTGTCAAATAAAAGGATGTTGGAAGAGGAGGAAATAGTGATGCTTACGGAGCAGTGCAGTGCCATTCTATAGAAGAAGCTACCACCGAAACTTAAGGATCCAAGGAGTTTCACTATCCCTTGTGTTATAGGAGATATTACATTTGATAGAGTTTTATGTGATCTAGATGCAAGCATAAATCTAATGCCTTTTTCTGTTTTCAGGAGACTAGGGATTGTTGAAGTGAAACCAACGACCATATCTTTACAGCTTGCAGATAGATCCATCAAGCATCCGAGGGGCATAGTTGAAGATGTATTGGTCAAGATGGATAAATTCATCTTTCCAGCAGACTTTGTTGTGTTGGATATGGAAGAGGACAAAGAAATGCCTCTCATTTTGGGGCGACTATTTCTTGCCACCGGAAGAGGCCTAATTGATGTGCAAGAAGGAAAATTGCTTTTAAGGGTCCAAGATGAAATGGTGACATTCAATGATTTTGAGGCCATGAAGTTTCCATCAGAGTTAGATTCTTGCTTTAGTGTAGACTTGGTGGACAGACTAGTAGCAGATGTTATTAAAGAGAACACCTCTCAACTACCTTTAGAAGCTTGCATTGCCCAATAAAAAATAATAGAGGTAGATGAGCCAGCGAAGAATGAGTGTGCTAGACTTTTGGAAGCACTTCAGCCAATTAATGCAAGCTAAGATCCAAAATTTGAAGAGTTTGAAATCGAAAAAGAGAAGGAAAAGGCAAGAACGGAAGAACCTCCAAAACTTGAACTGAAGCCTTTACCTTCTCAACTCAAATATATGTATCTTGGTGAATCAGAAACCTTTCCAGTGATCATTAATGCAAGGCTGAGTAAAGTAGAGGAAGAGTAGTTGATTCGGGTGTTAAGGGAGCACAAATCAGCAATTGGATGGACCATATCGGATATTAGGGGTATCTCTCCATCTTTTTGTATGCACAAGATACTCATGGAAGATGATGTCAAGCCTAGGGTGCAACCACAACGGAGATTGAATCCTTCAATGAAGGAAGTGGTGAAACTTTTAGATGCGGGCATAATTTACCCTATTTCAGATAGTCTATGGGTGAGCTCGGTGCAAGTGGTTCCAAAGAAATGAGGTATCACGGTAATTAAGAATGACAACAATGAATTGATACCAACTAGGACAGTCACGGGTTAGAGAGTGTGCATTGATTATAGGAAACTGAATGAAGTGACAAGGAATGATCATTTTCCACTTTTTTTCATCGATCAAATGTTGGAAAAATTGGTAGGGCATGCTTATTATTGGTTCTTGGATGGTTTTTTAGGTTATAATCAGATTGCTATTACTCTTGAAGATTAAGAGAATACGTTATTCACTTGTCCTTATGGCACCTTTGCATATAGAAGGATGCCTTTTGAGTTGTGCAATGCACTGGCCACATTCCAACGACGCATGATGTCAATTTTTGGTGACATGGTGGAGTGGTTCATAGAAGTCTTCATGGATGACTTCTCTGTTTTCGGTTCTTCTTTTGATAATTGCTTGTCTAATCTCTCATTTGTTTTGAAGCGATGCCAAGATACAAATTTGGTGCTTAACTGGGAGAAATGTCACTTCATGGTTCAGGAAGGAATAGTACTCAGTCACTGAATTTCAAAGGACGACATCAAAGTGGATCGAGTCAAAACGGAAGTGATTGAGAAGCTGCTACCACTTGCAAATGTTAAGGCAGTCCGTAGTTTTTTGGGGCATGCGG